GTGCAGCCATAGTCTGTGGCCCGGAGATCCGGACACCTGGGGATCACTGACCCCGCACAAGGAGCCCACACCTTTGCACACTGGTCTCCCGGAGGCCGGTCACAGGGTGAGGGGCGCCCCCTCCTCCCTAATGCTGAGGCCGGCATCCCGGGCCTGGCTAAGACAGAAAGAGCGGGAGCGAGTCTGCAATAGCCGGACCCTCATTTGTAATCACTTCTCCCAACTTTTTGTGACCAACCCCCCCCCCTGTTCCGCCACTCTCCAAACTCCCAACTGCACCTATAGAGTGTGAGCGCCCTAGGTGCGTGGACCACAGAGCTGGGAGATGGGGCGCGGTGACCACCGAGCAGGACTTGGAAAAGCTCTCGGAATGTGGGTGGGGTACCCCAAGGCCTCCACCGACCCGCACACAACCTGCAAGATCCCAGGGCCAGACACCCAGCAGGGATTGAATGAATGATTGCATAAATGAACTGCATGGTGGGAGGTTAAACAGTAAGCAAAGTGCTGTGGGCCTGAGAGGTGAGATGAAGAAGGGGAGACGAGGAGGGATGATGGGGAAAGTTCTTGGATGAAGATTATTCATCACCATTGAGGGGTTCTGGTGTGGCGCTGTAGGGTAAAAGCACAGGACCGCAAGGTCGGCTTGGATTACAAAGGACGGCGGTTCAGACTCACCAGCCACTCCTTGGATACCCTATACAGGGTCGCTATGACACTTAACATTTACTGAGCAACTCCTGTTGGCCCTTTTGTTGTGTGTTGGAAATGCAGCATAAAAGGGACAAAGAAGGTTCCTGGCCTGGAGCTTCCGGTCTCGGAGGTGAGGTGAGAGATGAGAGAAACCAGTGGTCAGTGGCTGATTGGGGGGGGGGGGGGCCGTGGGGCTGGGCAGAGCAGAGGTGCTAGAAGCCAAGCTTCTTCTCCCTTATCTCCTTGAAGAAGGTGTGTTCAGCCTAAGCCTTCAGGGGTGAGGAAGGTGGTTTTGGTCACACGAAGTGTTGCAGGCAGAGACAAGCGAAGAAAGACCTGGGATGTCAAGGTAGACAGAACCTGCTAAGATTTTGAATCTCAAGGGTAGTGGAGAGTCTTTGGAGTTACAAGGGATCTCACTGACTTATTTTGAAAGCTACCCCTGGCTCCCAGTTTGGAGGGGGGCAGGGAGAGAAGGCTGGTAAAAATCACCCTGTCAGGGTAACCCTGCCAATGGCCAGGGCTTTGGCAATAGGATATTTAGGGATGGAATTGGCAGGATTTGGTGGTGAGAGCATGGTCTTGATTTTTGTTTTTAAAGACGGGAGTGTGGAGGTGTGACAAAGTCCGAGACTATGGAAAACTCCAGGAGGTGTTAGGGAAAGGAGTTCTGTGTGTGTGTGTTTAGGGAGCGGAGTTCTTCTAGGAGATGGGGCTACAGGGGAGGGTGCCCTTGGGTATCAACAGGAGTTAGGGTCTTATTTGCCAGTGATTTGAATGCTGAAACTTTACTAAGTGGGAGTGTAGTTTGTCCCCTGCAGCCTTTGGGCATTAGACTGTGTGTGTGTGTTTGTGTGTGTGTGTTCTCACCTTTGGCCATCCTCCCTCCCGCCAATCCCTCCAGTGTCAGGAGCTGCAGGATCTGGCTCCCAGGCACTTGCAGGGTGAGTCCAGCTCAGGAGTTCAGGTGGTAATGGCAGAGGTCTCTCCTTTTCTCTGCAGGGACTGGAGCCCCTCTCCCCCAACCTCCATTTCAACATGGGGCTGGAGGCCCAGAAACTGCCAGGGGCAGAGGAGGCCCCAGTCAGAGTGGCCCTCCGAGTCCGTCCGCTGCTGCCCAAGGAGCTGCTGCATGGTCACCAGAGCTGCCTGCAGGTGGAGCCAGGGGCTGGCCGCGTCACTCTGGGCCGTGACCGCCATTTTGGTTTCCATGTGGTGCTGGCTGAGGATGCTGGGCAAGAGGCCGTGTACCAAGCCTGCGTGCAGCCCCTCATGGAGGCTTTCTTTGAGGGCTTCAATGCCACTGTCTTTGCCTATGGTCAGACAGGCTCCGGGAAGACATACACCATGGGGGAGGCCAGTGTGGGTAAGTGACCTTCCTGAATTTCTGTCCCTGGCCCCTTCTGCTATAAGCTAGTTAAGGTGAGGAGTATTGGGGGAGAGTTGGCAGGATGTGGATGCAGAACTTTGCACCCATGGTTGGATCAGTCTTATCAGTGGGCCTGGCAAGGCAGGAACCATCCTTAGGTGCTCCATTGTCAAAAAAGGTCCTTGGAGGTGAGTGGCCTAAACTGCCTAGAGATGGGGCCACACGTTCTGGGGAAAAACACAAGTTGGCTTGTCTTCGGAGGTCACCAAGGTCATCATTTTGGCTGCACTTATCCAAGATGGAGTTCAAACTGACCTGTGGTCCAGTGCTTTATTCCACAGCGCCACACCAGGGCTCCTTAGGACAGGTATCCTGGGCCTATTGAGGGGACTATGTCATTTTAAATAACACAAACTGCTTTCTCTTAGGCTATAAAAGCAAACGTGTTTGTGGTAGAAAACTGGGAAAACAGAAAAACACATGCGTGAAATCATACCTACTTGAAACTGCCTTTCAGAGATCACTCTCCCTCTAATTAGCTTTTGTTTTTTTTTTCTTTGTGAAAATTAGTATACTTTTCACAAATGGGATTGTAATTTCCCTATATTCTTTTGGCACCGTGTTTTATTTACTTACGAATATACGATGAACATTTTTCTATATCATGAAATACTCTTCAGCCCAATTTTTTAATGGTTGCTGGCATTTCACTGGGAAAAGAATTTAAGTAGATGCCTTATTGCATCTTTGTTGTTGTTAGGTTCCGTCAGGTCAGTTCCAGCTATGCACAACGGAATGAAACGCTGCCCTATTCTGTGACTGCCTCACATTTGTTACACTGTGCCAGTCTTTGGTGGAGGGCGGGGGTCTTCCTTTTTTTTTTTTTTTGCCAATCCTCCACTTTCCCAAGCATGATGTCATTTTTCAGGGACCGATCCTGGTTCCTCCTGATAACATGTCAGAAGTATGAGAGACAAAGTCTCGCCACCCTGGCTTCTAAGGCGCATTCTGGCTGCACTTCCTCCAAGACAGACTTGTTTGCTCTCCTGCCAGTTCATTGTACTTTCAATCTTCTCCAACACCATAGCTCAAATGCATCCATTCATCTACGCTTTTCATTATTCATTGTCCAACTTTCACAAATATGTGAGGCAACCAAAAATATGGTTTGAGTCAGGCACACCTTAGTTCTCAAACTGACATCTTTAAAGAGGTCTTGTTCAACAGATTTGCCTAATGCAGTATGTCGTCTGATTTCTTGACTGTTGGCTTCTGTGAATGTTGATGGTCGATCCAAGCAAAATGAAGTCTTTGTCAACTTCAATCTTTTCTCAGTTTATCATGATGTTATTGATTAGTCCAGTGGTGAGGATTTTTGTTTTCTTTACATTGAGGTGTAAAAGACTATAGACTTTAATCTTCATCAGTAAGTATTTTAAGTCCTCTTCACTTTCAGCAAGCAAGGTTGTGTCATCTGCGTATCGCAGGTTGTTAATGAGTCTGCCTCCAATCCTGATACCATGTTCTTCATATAATCCAGTTGCTTAGATTTTTTGCTCAGCATACAGTTTGAATAAATTTGGGGAAAAGATAGAACCCTGGCATACACCTTTTATGATTTTAAGACATTCAGTGTCCCTTTGTTCTGTTCAGATGACTGCCTCTTAGACCAAGTACAGGTTCTTCATGAGCACAATTAAGTGTTCTGGAATATCCATTCTTCAGAATGTTGTCCATAGCTTGTCATGATCCACACAGTCAAAAGCCTTTGCATACGCAGTAAAGCATAGGCAGGCATCTTTCTGGTATTCTCTGCTTTCAGCCAAGATCCTTCTGATGTCAGCAATGATATCTTAAGGTGCATTTTTTGAGGTTATATAGAGTGCACTTCTGAATATCCTCCAACTTCTTATTTGGGATGAATTTAAAAGGGCCTATAGATACCTGAGGAGCCCTGTTAGCACTGTGGGCTAAGCATTACTTGGGCTGCTAACCTCAAAGTTGGTGGTTCAAACCCACTAGCCATTCAGTGGGATAAAGATGAGGTTGTTTACTCTCATAATCTCAGGAAACCCAAGGGGCAGTTGTACTCTGTCGTATATAGCATTGTTCTGAGTTGGCATCAACATAGGGTTCAGTGTTTGGCTCTTAGACCCCTGAGTGTACAGTCAGTGGTAATGAAATTCTGCCACCAAGAGCAGGTCAGTGGTATCTGACCCTCTGTTGGGGATGTAGTGGAGGGGATGCTGGCATTACGAAAGGACGTGGGTGAACCCTGAGAGGTTGCTTCTAACTCTGAAGTGTGAAGTCCTCCTGTCCTTGTCCCCTGGCCATCCTGGACATAGCCTGGTTCGGGCTGCCCTGTCCATCCTTGGCCTCTGCTGCCCCCTTCGGTCTCCACACTGGAGCCCCATTGTCTAGCTGTGTCCAGCTGCAGGCCAGGTGGCAGGATGGTGTCATCCACTGTGGTGTCTCCACAGCCTCCCTCCATGAGGATGAGCAGGGCATCATTCCGCGGGCCCTGGCTGAGGCCTTCAAGCTTATCGATGAGAACGACCTGCTTGACTGTTTGCTGCATGTGTCCTACCTTGAAGTGTACAAGGAGGAGTTCCGAGACCTGCTTGAGGTGGGCACTGCCAGCCGTGACATCCAGCTGCGGGAAGATGACCAGGGGAATGTTGGTAGGACCCTGCCCTTCTTCCCCAGGAGGGCTGGAGTGGGGTACCTTCACCTTCTCTGTGAGGGGACTGACTTTTCAGGGAGGGGGGCATCTTCTGGAAACCCTGTGCTTCTGTCTCTTGTCACAAGTTTAGTATATACTTCTGCTCCCAAGATCAGAGGCATTGAGGTGGGCATGGGAGGAAGCCCCTCCAGCCTCCAGGATGGGAAGGGCACTGTGGGTATGGGGAGGAGGCATCTGGGCCAGGAAGAGTAGGTAGAGGGCTAGTCCTGTCTGGTCAGCTCCTGGTGGCCACTGCTCCAGGGCTCACAGCAGGCTGTGCCCGCAGTGCTGTGTGGGGTGAAAGAGGTGGACGTGGAGGGCCTGGACGAGGTGCTGAGCCTCCTAGAAGTGGGCAACGCAGCCCGGCACACAGGGGCCACACACCTCAACAGACTATCCAGCCGCTCGCACACGGTCTTCACGGTGACCCTGGAGCAGCGAGGGCGTGCTCCCACCCGCCTGCCTCGGTCGGCCGCCAGCCAGCTGCTGGTCTCCAAGTTCCACTTTGTGGACCTGGCGGGCTCCGAGAGGGTGCTCAAGACGGGCAGCACCGGCGAGCGGCTCAAGGAGAGCATCCAAATCAACAGCAGCCTCCTGGCGCTGGGCAACGTCATCAGTGCCCTGGGCGACTCGCAGCGTCGCAGCGGTCACATCCCCTATCGTGACTCCAAGATCACCCGGTGAGCCATTCTTTCCTTTCATGCCACTTGTCTGGCCTCTGGGAGTGAAAGGTGTCCAGCCTGCAGCTAAGGGGTGGGATCCTCCTCTGAGGAGGAGGTCAGATTTGGAGGTCTGGACAGCTGACCCAAGCCTTGGTACCTTGGGGTCCCTGACGTACTTCATCCTCCGGGCGCTCAGGATCCTCAAAGACTCCCTTGGGGGGAATGCCAAGACTGTGATGATTGCCTGCGTCAGCCCCTCCTCCTCGGACTTTGATGAGACGCTCAACACGCTCAACTATGCCAGCCGAGCCCAGAACATCCGCAACTGCGCTACCATCAACTGGCGGCCAGAGGCCGAGCGGGTGCCGGAGGAGGTGGCAGCCGGGACACGGGGTCCACCGCGGCACCGCTCGGAGACGCGCATCATCCACCGCGGCCGGCGCGCCCCGGGCACAGCTGTTGCCCACATCACTGCGGCTCCCTTGGACGCTGAGTGCGCGCGCTGTCGGGCCCGCGCCGATGCTGCCTGCAGCCTTTTGCGGGAGCTGCAGTCCGAGCCCGGGCTGCCTGGGGCGGCCGCGCGCAAGGTGCGCGACTGGCTGTGCGCAGTGGAGGGTCAGCGCAGTGCTCTGAGCTCCGCCTCCGGGCCGGACAGTGGCATCGACAGCACCTCTGCCGCGGAGGACCAGGCAACGCAGGGGCCACGAGGGGGAAAGGTAGCCAAGGGCCAGGCAGATCCCTAGGGAGGAAGGAGAGGAAACGGGGGCCGTGTATCGGAGATCCCTTTGTGCTTGTGTATTATGGGGCGTCCAGTTGTTTTCGTTTCCGATTTATAGCAATCCTGTATAGGGTTTCCAGGAGCGGCTGGTGCACATGAACCGTTGACCTTGAAGTTCAAACCGACTTTGTATTCCAGTGCATTAATGCACAGCGCCACACCAGGACTCCGCCTGTCCATTAGCAGAGCTCAATTAGAATTCAGTCATTTCTGATGACCAAAGTCAGAGTTTTCTTGGATTCAGGGTTTCCATCTGTAGAATAGAGATGATGTTTACATTTACCTAATGGGAATGTAAGAACTGAATATGGAACAAGAACCAAGCATGCTGGTGAAAGATTAGTGAATTGTTCCTAATGGTGGTGACATCATTATTAATAAAAATATGATTAATTACTAGAGAGTGTGCCCGTGGTTTGCAGAAGAGACTTCAGGTGGGGTCTGGGGTACCCTCCCAACTTGTATGTCTGGAGCCCCTATTGCAGACAGGGCAGGGAGTAGGCCGAGATGCCCCCCTGTCAGTGCCTCCCTGAAACCTCTCTCCTGGCCCCTTAGGAAGATGCCGAGGCAAAGCAGCTGCTACTGCTGCAGAGCCAGGTGGTCCGGCTGGAGGAGGAGAACCAAGACTTTCTGGCAGCTCTGGAGGATGCCATGGAGCAGTACAAGCTGCAGGTGGGGCCACCAGGAGCAGGTGAAATCTGAGCTGAGTCTGAGGATTAGAGGGAGTAAGTCAGGCTGGCTGGCAGGGGGAGAGGTAGGGGTGCACAGCTTAGCTGGATGGTCCTGAGCCTGATGGGAGATGGGACTAGGCAGCCTGGCTCTTCCTCCTGGCCCGTAGTGACAGGGTGCCCTCTGGTGGTAGTGATGGGAAGTGTCACTGAGCCCTCTGGCCACAGTTAAGTGAGAGCTTATCATCAGGGACTTCTAAAAGGTGGTCAAAATGGAGGGCAGTTTGGCTCCCTCATCCCTGTGCTTAGCACAACCCCACACACTGGTTACTTGACCTTGGGTGCTCACGTCTGTGCCATGAAACCGTGTGTGTGTGTTGAGTTTTAGTTCAGGGAAAGCAAGGTGACTCAGTTAACTTGTTGGTGAGCATGCTTGTCCTCCCTCTTCCCTTGCACCGCTGCTTCCCTACATACACACCCCTAATCAGCACCCCTACCATGTCTTACAGAGCGACCGTCTGCGGGAGCAGCAGGAGGAGATGACGGAGTTGCGGCTACGGCTGGAGCTGGTCCGGCCTGGCTGGGGGGCCCCCGGGCTCCTGCAGGACCTTCCTCCCAGGTCTTTAGTGCTCCGGCCTCATACAGCCCCCCTGGAGGGGGCTCACAGCCGTGTGCTGGGCATGGTGCCCCCCGCCTGCCTCCCTGGCGATGAAGTCGGTTGTGAGCACTGGGGAGAGGTGAGGGAGTGGTGAGGCTGGGCATCTGCTGGGCACGAGTAGGTGATGCTGGAGCGTGAGACCAGTTGTGAGCTGTGAGATGCTTTCAGGTGTCCCTCGAGGGAAGGCTGGGCTTGGGGTGACCATGGAGCCTCTCAGAGGGGTCAGGTGCCAGTGGACGGTGTCTGACAGTGAATGAAAGTTTGCACACACCGGAGATGGAGGGCTCACCACCCCCGAGGCAACCCCTTCTGCCTTTGGATGGCTCTGCACGTTCACTTTTGCAAGGAGCCTAAGTCTGTCTCCCTGAGCCTTGTCTCCTGCTCTCGATTGCCACATGGGGCTTTTTGCACCATGACAACTGTTTATGCCCAAAAGCTGTGTCTTTCAGTTCTAAAGGCTTAAGGGACTAACAAGTGAAAGGACTTGGGTTTGCTGAGGTCTGTAAAGAGACTGAAGGCACACACCCACCACTGCAGGGCATGGCTGGCTGTGTGGGGAGGCAGCTGTCTTGAGGGAGAGATACTACTTAGGTGGAGACCACCTGTCCTCAAGCTAAAAAGGGTGATTAGCGCCTGAGGAGGGCCAGGTGCTGTGTGTGCTGCGGTGGTTCGGTGGAGCTAGATCTCAAAGGTAGACAGACAGGGCTTGAGGAGGCAGAGCTGTGGGGAGACGCTGAGGAGGGAGACAGGCAGCTGAGACAGATGTTGTCCTGCGGTAAAGCCCTGGCCCTTTCCGGTAGCTGACAGGTGACAGTGGAGCTGGGACCGAGTTGCTGGTGGACAGGCTGGGAAGCGGCTCTTCAGCTACATCAGACGAGGAGGAGGAGTCACCCAGGCGGACCCTGAGCCTGCGCAGGTGAGTGGGACTCCTGCCGGAGGCTGCTGGGGACCAGGCCTGAGTGCTCACTGCGTCTCCCCCTGACTTTCACACTGCTGGCCCAGGCCTCTCAGGTCTCAGGGTGCCCTCCCTGCAGTGCCCCCGCAGGCCCTGAAGGCTCACTGTGGTCCTTGTCTGTGCCTTCTCGTAGGCGTGGGTCTGTGGGACTAGTCCTGGGCTGCATGTGACCCTGGGGGGGTGGATGGCCAGCTCTTTCCCCATTCCCATCTGGGAAATGGCTATGCTGGGGTAGGGGTTGGGGAGAGCTATAGACTCTGGCTTCCGCCTTCCAGAAATGGGATTGGCAGCTGGAACCGGAAGGTGGGGGCCCACCCAGGGAGTCCCCCTGACAGGAAGGGCCCAGACCCTTGCCTTGAAGAGCTGGGTGCAGCCATTCCAGGACCCAAAGGTGAGCTGGGTAGGGTGTGGAGAGGGTCTCTTCTCCTTGCCTGGCCTTAAACTCACTTCCCGTTGTGGCTGCCCACCCATCACCCTTGCCCGGGCCATGCCTCTTCCTCCCCTCTACTTCTTGCAGTGGTTGGTGGGAAGAAAGTCCCGGCTCGGCACCGCCAGGCCTCCGCTGCCACAGCCTCCGAGTGGCGCCTGGCCCAGGCCCAGCAGAAGATCCGGGAGCTAGCCATCAACATCCGCGTGAAGGAGGAGCTCATCGGAGAGCTGGTGCGCACAGGTGCTGCCGTGGTCCTGATTTCCCGTTGTTTTCGAGGGGCTCGTCAATGTGGAAGAGCCCTGGTGGGGCCGTGGTTAAAGTGCTCATCTGCTAACCAAAAACTTGGTAGTTGGAACTCACCAGCCGCTCTGCAGAAGGAAACTGTGGTAATCAGCTCCCGTAAAGATTTACAGTCTGGAAACCCGAGGGAGCCTCCTAGTAGCCAGAATCGACTCCATGGCAGTGGGGTGTGAGTGTGGTGCTGAAGCGCAGGGGTTCTCGAGACAGCTCAACCATTCCCAGCTGTGTGACCTTGAACAAGTAGCATAACCTCTCTGTGCTTCAGTTTTCTCATCCCTAAAATGGGGGTAGTAATTGTTATCTACATCGTAAGGTTGTTGTGGTGAGGCTGAAATGAATTAATTCAGGATAAGTGCTTAGAGTAGCTTTCAATAAACCTTGTTGTGGTCGTTATGTGCTGTTAAGTCAGCTCTGACTTATAGGCGATCCTGTATAGGGTTTCTGATGAGCAGCTGGTGGGTTTGAACTGCTGACCTTCTGGTTAGCAGTCCATTGTTTGTCCTATAGCACCACACCAAGACTCCTCAATAAACACTATTTCTTACATACCAAGTGACTGCTATGTATCAGTCACTGTGCTGGGCACAGGCTTGCTCAGTCCTGGAGAGCACACAGTGTAACCAGGGACTGAGTGTCCCTAGATCCTGTAGTTTATGACTGTGATACGGGTGAAGGGGTAGGGGTCAATTTCACATGGTGACCAGTTGGGCCTTTTTATTCTGATAGTTATAAATATTATTTACTACAAAACTCATTATGAAAAATTTACGATACATACAATAGAGAATAATACAATACACCACCCTCTACCTACTACAATACCAAGATTTTGCCACATTTGTTTCATACCTCCCGTTTTCTTTGAAAATTCCAGATATCATTTCATCTGTATGCCTGTCTAAAAAATTTGAACCTTTTCTGCCTAACCATAATGACGTTGTTTGTGTTATTATTGTTAAGTGCCATTGAGTTGGTTCTGAATCATAGTGATCCTGTATAGGGTTTCCAAGGAGTGGTTGGTGAGTTTGAACCGCCAACTTTATGGTCCAGTGCATTATCCCACAGCGCCACTCCAGGATTCCATAATGCCTTTAGCATGTCTGATAAACAAAGTAGTAATTCCCTGAGTGTCAGATAGAATGCTTCACCATGAACATGAACCCTCGGTTGTTCAGCAAGCTCTGTGTACAGCTAGTTTGTCTCAGTCAGGTTTCAGACTTGTCCACACAGGATATTCGCTTCTTCAGTCTCGTAAGTTGCCCTCTGTAACCAATTTAATCATCCTGCAGAATATCACAAAGTCAGAATGTCCTGAGTTTATCAGTTTGCTTTTTTGTGGTGTGGTTTAACTTGTTCCTTTCTCTCCCCTATTTCCTGTAAATGGAAGTTAGCTCTAGAGGCTTAGTTCTAAGCAGGTTCATCTGGATTAGGGGAAGAGAAAACTAGAAGAGGCTAATTGAAAAAGAGTTGCTTTAAAGAAGAATGTTAAGTCACAGCGCTGGTGGTACAGGGGCTCAGTAAAGCGCACGCAGGTGTCTGCAGCTGACAGAGGTCTGCGAGGCCTTCCCAGGGGAATGAACAGGTAGATCTTGCAGGGGACAAGTGACCTGTGCTGATGTGGCCCTACTTCCAGGGAAGGCGGCCCAAGCCCTGAATCGCCAGCACAGCCAGCGCATCCGTGAGCTGGAGCAGGAGGCAGAGCGGGTGCGGGCAGAGCTGAATGAAGGCCAGCGGCAGCTGCGGGAACTCGAGGGCAGGGAGCCCCAGGATGCTGGCGAGCGGTCCCGACTCCAGGAGTTCCGCAAGAGGGTGGCTGTGGCCCAAAGCCAGGTGCAGGTTAGTGTTGGGGCCCTGGGGCAGTGGCCTCCCGGACTCGGGGTCCTGGGATCAGACCTGCTCAGGCCCCGGTGCCCAGTTTCTGACTGGTGGCGCCCAGAGTGAGGCTGGTGGTACAGGGGCTGGCTCAGCTTGAAACGCCACAGAGGAGACGGATGGAGAGTGGTGCTGTTTGGGGTGCACACCTCGAGAAAGCTCCCCTATGTCATGCATCCCTCCCTCCCTGTGTCCACTCCCCTGTCCATCCATTTACTTACTCGATTCTGTCGTTCCCCTCTGTCCACCTGTCAGTCCGTGTGTCCCTCTCATTCATCCATCTGCTTATCCTTTAATTGGTGATGTGACAAACTGCCCTTGTATCCATCTCTCCAAGCACCCTTTATAGTGAGCCATGCAGCATCTCTCCAGCCGTTTTTTACCTTTCTGTCATCTCATCCTTCCACCCACCCATCAGGGAGCCCTGCGGCAGGCAGTGTGGATGAAATACTGGGCTGTTAACTGCAAGGTCAGCGGCTCCAAGCCACCAGCAGCTCTGCAGGAGAAGGATGAGGCGGTGTGTTCTCTTAAGTGTCAGTCCCAGAAATCTGTGAAGCAGCCCTCCTCTGCCCTGCAGGGTCGCTATGGGTTGGAATCGACTTTTGTTGTTTTCTGTCCACCCTCCCATTCATTGTATTTGCATCCATCCATCACTCATCCCTTTTGTCCAAGAGATGGCACTCTAGAGGAGTTAGAACTTGGGCTCTGGGACAAGAGTGCTTAAGCTTAATCGTAGCTTCACTTACTAGCTGTCCTTGGTCGTGTTTCCTAACCTCTCTGTGCCTCAGTTTTTTTTTATCTGTAAAATAGGGGTAATAGTAATCATACCTTTTTGTAGGGTAGTTGTTGTTAAGTGCCATAGAGTCTATTCCAACTCATAGCTACCCTGGAACAGCTGGTGAGCTTGAACCACTGACCTTGCAGTTCAAACGACTTTGCAGTCTGATGCATTAACTCACAGCGCCACACACTTTGTACTGTGCTTGGTGCGCAGTAAATGCCTTAGAAGGGTTAGTTACTCATATTGTTACTAGTCCCCCAGCTGCTGGCCTGTTTTCCTTTCTGTCTACCCCTCTATCCATTCGCCCACCCTTATGGCATGTTAGCCACTAGGACAGGCTCTCTGGTAGCCCCTGTGGCCTAACAGAGGTAGTGTTGGATCCAGGTGCTGAAGGAGAAAAAGCAGGTGACGGAGCGGCTGGTGTCGCTGTCGGCCCAGAGCGAGAGGCGGCTGCAGGAGCTCGAGAGGAATGTGCAGCTCATGCGGCAGCAGCAGGGCCAGCTGCAGAGGCGGCTGCGCCAGGAGACGGAGCAGAAGCGACGCCTGGAGACAGAGATGACCAAGCGGCAGCACCGTGTCAAGGTGGGGCCCACAGCTGCGTGGGGAGCGCCCCCAGGGAGCTCTGGCCTCCCCACTCACAGCCATCCGAACTTAGAAGCCAGCCGCTTGTCCTCTCTTGAGTTCGTGTTTTCATCTGAAAGTGAGGCGAATCCTAGGCAAGTCCAGGCTGGATTGTCCAGGGTTCAGCGAGCGTTCTCCCGGCCTCCCCAGGAGCTGGAGCGGAAGCACGAACAACAGCAAAAGATCCTGAAGATCAAGACAGAGGAGATCGCAGCGTTCCAGAGGAAGCGGCGCAGCGGCAGCAACGGCTCTGTGGTCAGCCTGGAGCAACAGCAGGTGAGGCCTGGGGCCTGGGGAAGGAGGGCAGGAGGGCTGGGCTGAGCCTGGGCCCCCACAGCACCATAGTGTGTCTGGGGGCTGAGTTCCCTACTGCCTCCTCTCTGCCCCCCAGAAGATCGAGGAGCAGAAGAAATGGCTGGATCTGGAGATGGAGAAGGTCCTGCAGCAGCGCCGGGCGCTGGAGGAGCTGGGGGAGGAGCTGCACAAGCGCGAGGCCATCCTGGCCAAGAAGGAGGCCCTGATGCAGGAGAAGACGGGACTTGAGAGCAAGCGCCTGCGGTCCAGCCAGGTGAGGGCCAGCCCCGGGCACCCAGGAGAGAGCCTGCCACTGAGTGTCCACTAGGTCAGGTGAGGGCCAGCCCTGGGCAGCCAGGAGAGTGTCTGCCACCGAGCGTCCACTAGGTCAGGTGAGGGCCAGCCCCGGGCAGCCAGGAGAGAGCCCGCCGCTGAGTATCCACTAGGTCAGGTGAGGGCCAGCCCCGGGCAGCCAGGAGAGTGTCTGCCGCCGAGCGTCCACTAGGTCAGGTGAGGGCCAGCCCTGGGGAGCCGGGAGAGCGCCTGCCGCTGAGCATCCACTAGGTCAGGTGAGGGCCAGCCCTGGGGAGCCGGGAGAGCGCCTGCCGCTGAGCATCCACTAGGTCAGGTGAGGGCCAGCCCCGGGCAGCCGGGAGAG